ACAGTACACACACATATATTATGTAAACATAGGGCTGGACGATATGGCCCAAATTGATATCACGATATATTTCTTAATTTCGGTCGATACGATATAATTCCGATATCGATATGAACACTATTTATCTGAAATAGAAATCTTTTGTAACATTATAAATGCCTTTATCATCACTTTTGATCAATTTTAAGCATCCTTGCTAAATAAAAGTATTAATTTCTATAATTTCTTTCCCAAAAAAATAATAAAAATTATACTGAATGGAATAGTGTATAATGTTACAAAAGCTTTTTATTTCAGATAAATGCTGATCTTTGGATCTTTCTATTCATCAAAGAATCCTGAAAAAAAAATGTACTCAACTGTTTTAAATATTGATAATCAGCAAATCAGCATATTAGAATGATTTCTGAAGGATCATGTGACACTGAAGACTGGAGTAATGATGCTGAAAATTTACCTATGTATGATCACAGGAATAAATTACATTTTAAAATCTATTCAAATAGAAAGCAATTTTAAATAGTAAAAATATTTCAACATTTTACTGTTTTTGCTGTACTTTGGATCAAATAAATGCAGCCTTGGTGAGCAGAAGAGAATTCTTAAAAAAAAAAAAAACCTTTAAAAATCTTACTGTTCAAAAACTTTTGACTGGTAGTGTAGGCTGATTATTCTTATAGATTGAAACAAATGTGCTTCAGCCAAAAAAAAAAGGGTATGAAAAGTGCTCCGAGTCGCTGCAGAAAACAAAAAAATTTAACAACAACAAAAACTGGAAATGTTGCTGGAGACGGGCTTATTTAAAATGAAAACTCATGCTCTGCTAGCAGGAGGCGCTTTTAGAGTGATAGAACTAGCGGTTTCTCCAGTAATGGCTGTAATCAAAGCAGCTCCGCTCATGAACGCTTCTTTATCAGATCAAATGAAAATGCCATCGAAACTTTTCTGAAGACAGTCGGTTCCCTTCACAGATACATTTATATAAAACACCCGCGACATTTTTTGATTTTGAAACGTGCAGTGCTCATGTTTATTCAACGAAGTCAAACGGCACAAATAAATCAATGTATGGGAAACTGGTAAAATGTATATCGAAATATCGGAAATGTGTTTAAAAATCATATCACCGTTATTGAAAAAAATTATATCGCGATACATATTGATATTGAATTATTGTCCAGCCCTAACCTAAACAAATATTAGAAAAAAAAATCTAGATAAACTAGCCAACTACACTATTCAAATAGCTAGTTTGTGGATAAATAGCCAAAATATTGTACAAAAAAACAACAACTTTGGGATAAACTACACAACCACACTACTTAACTAGCTGTTTAGTAGCAAATGAATTGGAAAAAATGAAACAATCTGTGCTCTAAATGGGCTGTTCTTGACCAGAATGACATGCATCATGGATTAGACATCATGCAGACAGCCAAATGTCTGGCTCTGTGAGACACAATAAGGGCTGTGTTTAAGCAAAAGACTCTTGAAGAAACTCTTGTTCAACCTAAACTGTAGGAACTCAGTTATATGCAGTTCAGACAAACTCTCCTGTAAAAACCAACATCTGAATTCCTCAGTGACACAGCTAAGTCAATAAGTCTCAGAATGTAGCTGAGATAAAAACTGGACTTTGGATATTAAATATTTGTCTAACATTTGAAAAATAAGGCTGATCCTTACCGCTGAGGATCTCATTGTTGCTGCCCCAGAAGTCTGCAGCTTTGGACGGTCTGCTGTAGACCTCGTCTCTGTTAGCAGCCAGAATAAGCCTGCACAAAAAAAGATGAAGGTGACATCACACAATCTCTTTCACAGTATCCTTCCTATACAATCATACTCATAACATATAGTTTCTATAATAACACACATCACTATAACAGACCACCTTTAGAATCATCCTTATAGCCTCATAAATGAGAAAAACTGTAATGCTGTGCTTTGTAATGTGTTACCCGTGGATAATGGACATTGTGTTAACCAATAAAGGGCTGATTTTCAGTCAGACTTCCTGTGGGAGGGGGAGAGACGGAGGCTGGCACTGTTGAATGGGCTCAGAGGTCACATGTGCACCTAAATGTGTTTATCTCGTGCTGATCCCAGGAGAGCACTGACTGCTGTGCCAGCTATTCACCTAAGGCCTAGAGAAGGCTCAGCTGTGATGCTGAAAGCTGCTGTGCGTGGCTTTATTGTCTCTGCTCAGGCCTGATTCTCTGTTGATGCCTCTCTGTCATTAATATCCAGTGCAATGGAATATTCGTTTATATCTTGCATGTTGAACTAAGTAATTTGGGGTCCTTGGGGTGTCAAGCACCTGTGAAATGTCAACCACATTCTGTAAGGAGGCTTTTTTAAAACAAAATTTAAAAGAATTTAATAATTATAAATTTAAAGGCAACTGCATGAATGGACTGCAAGTTTATGTTAACCACTTCTGAGTAGTGGTCGATCGATACTGATTTCGATATTGATGGCCGATGTCAATATTTTAGAGATCAGATAGGGCTGGGTATCGTTCAAAAATTCATCTCTGAGTGTAACCGGTGTAAACTAGTAGGTGTGTTCGACTTGACGCGGACTGACTGTGCATGTACTACAGTACCACGAGAGCTTAAGAGAGCAGACTGCTCCGTGTGCTTTCGAATTGCTCTCGCGGATGTCAAACACTGATCGATCTGCGACGCATCTCTTCTAGTCGAACACACCGACTAGTGCTGCAGGCTTATTGGCTCACTGACGCTGATGAGATTAACCCCTTAGGTATCGAAATTTGGTACCGAACGACGAGAAGTTTTTCGATACTCGATGGTATCGAGGCATTTCGGTCGGTGCCTAAAAAGTATCGAACTCGATACCCAGCCCTAGTGGTCAATATAAAGCCGATATGATAAAACACTATTTAATTTAAAGATAGCAAATAACATGTGCTATATAAATGAAGTATGAAATGTAAATTAAATTTGTATTTATTTTACATAATATTTACTCAATTAGAAATAAATAATTTGAAAATGAATCAATGAGAAAACAAACTTTTAAACTTGCTAAAAAAAATAAACCTGCAATTAAACAGGATGACACAAATATGACATACTGTAGCTGCCAACTGGATTGTCAAATGGAGGATCAAGTTACTGGTGCTGGATTATTTTCAATAATATTGTATGTGTAGTTTTAACATGATATCAATATTTCATTTTTTAAATATCACGGTTATCATCACTACTGGTACATTGCAACATCCCTTCTGCAGCTATAATGTAACTCCATAAATTAATAAACAAACTTTTAAAGAAAAATTATGGCATATGATGCAAAACAGTCGTTAGGGGGCAGTCGTGGCCTAATGGTTAGAGAGTCGGACTTGTACCCAAAGGTCGCGGGTTTGAGTCTCAGGTCCGGCAGGTCGGTGGGGAGAGTGAATGACCAGAGCTCTCTTCCACTTTCAATACCACGACTGAGGTGAGACCCTTAAGCAAGGCACCGAACCCCCAGCT